AGGATGAATGCGACATCGTTTTGGAAGACTGCGGGAGAATCTGTCCAACCCATAGGTAGCGCTGTGAGCCGAAATGTTCCGAGTGGGGTTTGGAAGGTGGTGAGGTCGCGGGATTCTTCAGCTAGGGCTTGGTGATCAAAACCGACGAATAGGTCCATCATAGTATAGATTGAGCGTCCAGCTGATTGTTCGGCGAATAGTTCAACGTAAGGGAGAGTGGCTGCATCTTTGACTGTGACCGAATTGAGTGGCTGAAGATTATGAACTATGCGAATCGAGCTGTTTTTCTTCGCGACGCAGAACCAGCTTGATTGGTAGGAGCTATTGGATGGCTCGTAGATCCCAGAGGCGATTTTCGACTTAATGAGGGCTATGACTTCGTCACGAATTCCTGGAGGGATGGGTGGCTGACGATGGACCCAGGGAGTGTGTTCTATAGTGGGAATTACAACGGGCGGGAAATAATCATCTCGAAATCTCCCTTTCTCGGTCTCGTCCCATGCTAAGGCTAACTCATTGAGAGACAGAATGTGCGCTACTAATTTCTGCTCTTCGGGCCATAAAAACGAGTTCTGAAAAATTCCAAGATCGTTCATGCGGTCTGCAGTGAGTCGAGTGCTTGGTACGAAGTCAGGAGGATTGGGAGAGACTGTGGGAAGGGATAGGAGGGGTTCTTCAGGAAACTGTCGAACAATACGAGCATGGGCTGGCATGGTGGTTGCGACAGGCTTGACTCGATTGGCAACCCTTTTATAGGCAAGTACTCGTCGTACAGGGTCAAAGTTGAATGATTCCTGTAACAAACATTCAGCAAAAGGGGTGGCTGTTATGTGCGCAACTGCAGGAGGTGGAATTTCGGCCGATAACGAGTTGCTGAAGGCTGCTGCAGAGAGCATGGCCGAAGTTAAGGAAGGTGGAGGACGGGGAAGGGTAGCACAGGTTCGAACTTGCATAATATCTGTAGGATCATGGATGGTAACATAGACCATGTCTGCAGTTTCTGACTTTGACAACCGAACGAGCCGCTGCCACGGACGTCCTAAAAGCAGATGATATGGAGCATCAGCGATAACATAGGCATGGGCCCACGTTTTGATACCATCAACATCGATCTCGAGCATCTCCAGGCATCCAGCCATGTCCTGGGAGCTTCCGTTTGCAGTCTGCATGCGCATGCGAATGTTTTTGTTGATTGGGGCTTGAGTCTTCTTCCAAACGTCTTCTCAAATAACGATGAGCTCCGACCCTTCATCCAGCAATGCCATTTCCGTGTGGACACCATTGAGCATAACTTTGAGCTCGCGAAGGGGTGTAGCATGCTCAATTTGTGGTGGTGGAACAGATGCAGTAGTGGTAAGGGTGGTAGCGGATGAAGGAGTGGATACCCGGTGCGTGCGACAGTGCTCTACAGCTTCTCGTCGAAGGTCTGGGCTTACTGCAAGAAGGTCAGCAACCGTGATATTCGGAACAATGGTGCTGAGCATGTTTTGATAGATGCGAGAGGCTGCATCTGGAGTGGCTGCTTTGGACTCGTAAACGTATGCAGGAGTTTTCTTTGGGGGAACTGCAGGAGTGTCAGGAATGAGAGCTTCGATGGAACGAGTTTGGCTTTGTGCCCGGGTATCAGACATAGTACTATTGGCCTCCTTAAGCTTCTTCTGGGACGGTCCTGCATCTATATTATCAAGCACCGCGTTTTTCGCCTTCGAACGAGTGATGGCAAGAGCATCTGCACCTGAGTCGTCATCTTCGATTGTCGTGACCGTGGCATGATTCTCTGCAACTTGGATACATTGAAGGAAGTAGCTTTCAGATATAAAGGCACTGGAAGGTATGGTCGAGGGAGGAGGGTTCGAAGATGGAGCAGATGAAGTAATGGTCTTGGCATGTCTATCCACAGCTTGCTGCAAGTTCTCGAGACCTTGCCGTTGGATGCGTGATCTGTCTGCATTGAGAAGGAAGAGATCTTCACGGATGATACGCCCAGTGCGAAGATATTCTGCTGCTGTGGGGCAAACACGAAGATAATGAGATTGTCCACAGAATGCGCACTGTATGGGGGCACGTGGAGTACTGGCAGGCACTGGAGTGGTCATGGACACGTTATTACAGAGTTGTCGAGTTCGAGGAGCAGCCCAGGCATTAGCGGCAGCAGGAGCTAGGCAAATGAGCTGTGTATAACATCCTGAATAATTAACGTCCCCGATGTCGAGACTGTGCATCTGTCTAGCGAGTGCGTCGACCTCTTCCATGGTGGACTTCTGTGCAGCTTGAACAGGTACTTGAGGGGATGTGAAGTGCACGGTCTTCGTTCACACCTCACGAGGAGCATCACAAGGAGCATCCCGAGGCTCATCCGAGTCATCGGAGTCATAGGCTGTATGATCTTGAGTTCGTCGATTACTGGTAGGAGCAGGATTGATACGACGATCTCTAATAGACTGGATGCAAAGAGTGATAGGATCATTGAACTCGGCATCGAAAGCTTTGTCAGAGAAAACATGACGACCTGCCTCTACAACCCTCTCGAAGTTTGTTGGCTCATTGCGGTTGAAGTTCGAATCTTTGAGCTCAAGTCGTTGCAGGATCTGACGACGAGCACGGATAGGCAGCCCCTGCCAAAAGTACTTGTCTCGGTCGCGGGTTGAGATCTTGTTGTTGTTGACAAGCCAGACAGCGACAGCACGAAATTGACTATAGTACTGAATCAGCTCCTTTTCCGTGTTGACATCGCTATCTGCTTGATTGACAATGATGCGCTCGAGCTCTCGAACAGTATAACGCTGCCCCTTGCTAGCACCTGAATATTGGTCAAGGATGCTTTTCTTGAAGGCTGCGTAGTCGCAACTCTCATAGCCAGTGAGCGTTATCCAAAAACGCTTCGTTGGAAGATTGACATATCGCACTAGACATTTGCATTTGTCAGTGCTCGTTAGACCGTAGGTAGAAGCGAGATCTTCAAACAACTCGAAGAACTCCAGCAGCTCTGATGTCTCGCCGTTGAAGAGCGGGGCTTTGCTGGAGTTAGGACCAGGCATTGTGCCTATGCCTTGATGCGTATGAGACATGATAGTGGCTGGTTGCGTGGTGGCTGAAGCCCGAGTATTAGTGAAGATGGCGGGTCTAAGAAGAAAGGGTTGAGGTTGATAGAAGTTGAATGAATGTTGTTGAGCAGGCGCTGCTGTAGTGTTGCGGTTAGAAGGACTTGAGTCTGCCGGCGCAAAGGGATTCTCGTCGTCGTCGTCGTCGTCGTCTGAGTCGATTCTGAGGCGGGTGTTATGAGGAAGGGGATTTACTGGTGTTACAGGTTCTGATGGATCGGGTTGAAGGACGGGTGGGCCGATGGCAGCGTGGTTTTTCCTAATAGGAGCCACGGTGGTTGGTGAAATGGTGGAATGTGCTGAAAGGGTCAAGAGATCTGGAACACACCCCTCGCAGTGGGCTCCAATATGTAAGTCGGCGTCAGACTCGCGAGTGCGAAGGGGTGGGGAGACCGCTGGAGGATGTACGAGCGCTAAAGAGTTAGATAGTTATTAGTGAACGTTTTAGATAAAGGGAATGTGATGATTTTGAGACGTTTAGACGAGAGTTATAGATATATCAAGGAGTGCGAGAGCGAGACTGCATGACTAGATCTGATTGCCTGTCAGTATGGACTGTACATGGGCTACTTATACTGTTAGAATAGTAAGGGTCCTTATTGATGGCTAGTCCAAAATTAAATGCGAAAAACGCAGTCCGAAGAGAGAATTGTCGCGTCCAAGAAGGTAGGGTAGATATAACGCGAAAGAGTACGAAAACGAGCGAGCGGAGGTTTGAATGGGTATGGTTTGACAGGATAACGAGAGCGTGCATAGGTTTTGACAGTTTTTAGATGGCTTGGTTGTGAGCAGAGCGACGGGGACGAACAGAGAGACGCGAACGAGAGTTTTAGTGCTATAACGGCCGACAAGGACTTGGTCGTGGTGAGCGCCGGTGATGTGAGGTGGTGGTAGCAGTGAGCATTAATTCGGCTATTTCCGGCAACAAACAATTGGTCATCCTTACAATGGAGATGGTCTCAGGTGATCAGTTCGGATCTGATGTTTCCTTATGCTAAATCTCTTGACCCATACGATCTATTTGTGTAAAATCAGCTTCTTGAGAGCAATACCAGTACAATTGACATCACTCCATCAAGGCGCTTGCAAAAACACCACCATCTTCTCTGTTATAAAGGTGACATCTGGCGGGTTAGAACTGCCACCTGCAACATGACCCCCAGATCAATGGAATCACGTCATCTCTGAGGTGCGACACTTCCGTGTTGCTGTCCTCCAGTTTTGGTGTCAGTAGTCAACTGTGGCACATTGCAAACACCGTCGAGCTATATGCGTCAAGATAACTCCAAAGGCCGAAACTGACAACGAGTCATCACAACAACAGGTGCCGAATAATGGGAGATAGAGAGAAGATACTGGATCGTCATCCAGTGCACAGCGTGGACGTGGTTTCCAATAGCTCGTATTTGGTGTGGACACAGACCTGAAGGTGGCACCTGGATGTCCAGTCAACAACTCCAAGATTGCGATGCGCTTGAAAGTACAATGCCACGCTCAATATTTTCTTTGGAGGATCTACCATGATTTTTCAGCCCATTCGTATCACCGCTTTGATCTAAGTTTATCTCATACTCGGGTCTCTCACCTACTGTTACAGTATCACGCTCTTAGTCTAAAATCCACTGTTACTCCACCATCACCATGACCACAGCGGGTTTCCACGACATCGTGTACAAAAAGGCCACCTGACTTGTTCTATCGAAATGCAATGATATTGTATCCTGATTGGGTACAGCTATCCTGTGTCTCCAAAATTCATTTTCATCATCCATCTCATCCTCTGCAGATCTGCCAGCTCACTTAGATACAACTGTGCTAAGTCTGCACCATCAATGTCCATGTTTAAGTTGAAAACTCTTGTTTAGAATCTGGTCTGCAGTTCGGAACATGTTTCTAGACCCTATGGCATCGATGTACTGCAAGCTAATTTTTGAGTGACCGATAAGGTTTGATTTACAAATGATATCCAAGATTCTAACATGATGCTGCGGGAAGTAACAATAAATACTCACCAATGCCCTTGATGTTATTCTAGCAAGCTTACTGCTCCCTCCCTGTCTTCGTCCATTCCAACTTGACATGACCTCCCCATATGAGATTGCACTGCGTCTTCAGACTGTCAAAGTAAGTCTTGCCACTACTAAACGAATATTTTAGTCCTCACGAGCCCCATGCCAGTATTTTAAGAGTATGTAACACATAACTCCTATGATACTGTCACCTTACCGACATACAATTATGAAAGTGGTAGGCTTGGCGGTCTTGGTAGGAAAATGAACATATGAATCAGACAAGCGCTAACATCAATAGCAGGTCTTTGATTATTGTATCAAACTAGAAGCCGAGGTGAGTCCTCCATCCGTTTAGTATGCTATCGAGGTTTCGATTGACACAGTACTACTAGATCAGCCTCACTTGGGGGAGGAAGTGGGATTTTATTCGGATCCTTTTTGTGGTGGCTCGATACACACCTTTTGTTGACGTCCCAGTAGACTTGATTTGTACGTGTCCGTTGTATTTACAACGCTGCATTGCTCAATTGACGATCAAGATTCCCTTGGACCCACATCATCACATGTTGTGAGTACCGATATTAGATGTAGACTGTGTTGCATTCATAGAAGTTCTATGGTAGTGCTTATCGCTCTACCAAGTCATCTCGTGTGAGCACCTTCCTATCCCTCATATTTGCATCTTGCACCTTATAATAATTTTGAATTATAATACAAAGGGTTTAACGTGTTTGGCACCATCGCTGCAGAATGTAATGGATGCCCCACTGCATTTTTAGTACAATCCTCACCAGATATCCAGCGCTCCTTCTTGTTAGGACATACACGTTATGGGGAAAAAACAGAGTGTTGCTTATTTCCCTACTACTTCTTGCGCTGGTAAATTCATTTCCACAATTGGCGATACCCATCTCAGTCACGACATCTTGCAGGGCTGCATCGCAGGGTCTGCGGTGGTCGGTGCCGAGGCTTTATCCTGGTTCAATTGTACGTCTCATTACAACCCTTCTTGGCGAGTCTCTAGTCCAACTTGGCTATCATGTAGACCAAGATCCCCCACTAGGAACGGCTGGTTGTTATCAAACCCAAAGAATTGCTATATACGCAGTTAACTATGCACTACTGGTTCTTTTTGAGACAGGTCAATTTTGTTTTTTGTGGAGTTACTGAAGCCAACTCTACACAGTCATATTATGCCTCAATGTTTTTCAAGCCTGGCGTCGCCGAAAACAACAGTCGAACCATCTCATTGTGCGTCTGTACTGGGATGGTATATTTTATATTCTATGTATACTAGGTGAGCAATTCTCGTCGTTGGATTCGGAGTACTAGGCTAACAAAATGCATAAGCAATGTCATTGGCCAATATCATAGTTATAAGTTTCCTTCCGGTAAGTCATGCCGTTTTCAATCAGGTTTTGCTAATCTTCGGTGCAGTCCGAATATGCAGAGTCTCTCGACACGTAGGTTTCACCCTCAAATATTCTGAATGTGTTTGACATTTGTCTTGTGTATTACTCAGACTCCAATTGGTGTTTCACAGCGTTTTATCCTCCCGCCTTCTTTTCAACTTACGAGCCATCATGAAACGACGACACGAGCAAGCCATCTTAGTCATGGGAGTGGACTCAGATGGATCCGATATTCCTTTGCGCTAAATATCTTAACTCATACAATCTATTTATGCAAAATCGGCTTCTTGAGAGCAATACCAGTACAATTGACATGTCTCCATCAAGGCGCCTGCAAAAACTCTGTGATCTTCTCCGTTATGAAGGCGACATCTGGCGGGTTAGCACTGCCCCCTGCAACATGACCCCAGATCGATGGAATCACATATAATTTAGCATCTCTGAGGTGCGACACTTCCGTTTCGCTGTCCTCCGGCTTTAATGGTGTCAGTAGTCGACTCGCAGTTGCTTGGTGGGGGACTAACCGGAAAGTAAAGATCCGTCTTCGAAGGCATAATAAGTGCCTTTGCTTTGATGCTCTTCAAAGCCTTCTCATAGTCACCGCCATCACGAATGATGGAAATGTCTCCCTTCTGCCATGTGTTCAGCAGCGCGATCATGTCATTTGCATCCCAGTTATTGACATATCCTCCTTCCCACCGCTCCCTGAGCCACGAGTTCAAGTCTGGGTACCTGTTCGCAAAATTTCATGAAGGAGGCTCGTGAACATATATTGCGACATGACTTACTCTCCGTCCATCAGGTACTTGTACTCCCGGAACCACTATGAAAGTTATATTATACTGATCTTTCATCGTGAGGTAACTCACAGTTTGTCCATAGGCCCACGCGCTGTAAACTCGACCAAACGCACGGATTCCATGTTGAGGAGTGCTCTGATAATGACCGTCGGCGAAATCTTTGCTTGCCAGCATCGCTGCCTTGGGCCCTTCCAGGAAGCTAGAGCGCAAGTTGTATGCGGACAAAACGAAGCAAAAATGGGATAAGGACCCACCATTGGTTATGGGGACTCGTGCGAGCAGACGAGCATATAGAAACAAACCGCTCCACGAAGTCAGGGAAGACGACTGGCCAGTGATACGCCTTGGGATAGGACCTAAGAGAGTGCATACGATGTACTAAAGAGGTGAATTACCTGTTGTCCGCCCATAGAAAACCCAACCACGGAAAAGAGCTTGCGTACTCCAAGGTGCTTTGTCAACACTGCGTGCTGAGCACGACTTGTCGGTGTGAGCCTGTGTTCTGTTTGCAAGACGTTTCATAACCCACATGTTATCTTCGTATGAAACGAATGGGAAGTACGGGCCACCATAAGGTGCAGGCTAAAGAGTTGTCAGAAAGGGGGTAAAATGTGCAATCACAGAAACTAACTGTGTTAGAGGGAGACGATGACTATATATTGTTTCAGTCTGCGAAAATGGAAAAGCAGCAAGCAGCGCACCTCTCCATTACAGAAAAGCGCGAATGTCACCACGAAGTATTTAGTTGGGTCAAGGGCCTGTTGTCAAAGATATGAAGACTACGCATTCCACTACATGAGCGTACATACCTTTCCTTCCCCAACGAGATAGTCTTGACCTGTGTGCAATTAGATAAACAACTGTTTTCATGTTCGCAATCAACAAACATACTCCCAAGGGCGAGTTTTGCCCCATAACATGTCGGGAAAACAATCACTTTGTCATTGCTTGGGTCTCCGTATGTCCGGTATGCGGTCACGGCATCAGGGAGCACTCCTCCCGCTACTTTGAAGCGGCCGTGATGGTAATACTGAGTTGGTGTCTGCATGGAGAGGGCCTAAGGGGGGAGATGATACTGTCTGTACAACGACCACATGCTTTTATGGCACGCGTGTATGGACACATACAGGCGGTCCGACAAACACCATGAGTGTCGATAAGTAGGCTGAACTGGATAATGGATCACATGGTCACGAGCCACCTAAAGATATCAATAATGCTATTTGAAGCTTTTCGGCATTGGCATTTGGTGTGAACGGCGACCGAGAGTACTCACCGATAAGTTGATTGTGTAGAGTGCAACAGGGCGCGTGAGCGCATTATTTCGATGGATGATGGGTGGCCGTTATCTCGCTTGCAGTATAAATAATATTCGAAAGCATTTTACAGAGTCGGAGATCCACATGGACTGAGTTACACATAATTCACATGCACGGCTTTGTAGATGATTTCTGAAGTAGAACTAAGGTTCCTCCAAAAATTTCTTCACCTCCGCTTGGACGGACTCATCATCATGCACGTTTAACCCTGCCCCAGCTACAGAATATCAGGAGCAGTTCAAAGTAAATCAAGCCTGATAAACTCACCCATATGACCCCATTCAGAATCAATAGTAACCAGCTTTGCGTTATTCAAAAACTGCATCTCATTCTGACTGTCCTCCGGCTACCCAAGGAACGCATCAGCCGAGACCCAAGTAAAAAAGGTGAAAAACTCACAGTGAAGTACAAGTCTGTCTTGCAAGGCATGATCAGACCTCTAGCCTTGATCGCTCCTAGACAGTCCGTGAAGTAACCTCCGTCACGGATGAGAGAAACATCCCCCATCTGCCATGTTTTCAAGAGTACCAATAAATCGTTGGCGTCCCACCCTTCCAGAAAACCGCCTTCCCATTCCTCTCTTAAGAAGTCGTTGAGACTCGTGTATCTAGTATTTCTATGAGGAAAACAGAGAGTAGAATACAAAAAATGGCGCACTTTCCGTTGAAGAGATAACCTTTCTTGGCAAACCACTGCAGCAATTTCAGTATGACAGCCAGCTAGAGATGCGGAAGCTCACCGCCTGGCTATATGCCCATGCGCTGTATACACGACCAAATGCCCGGATACCATGCTGAGGAACGCTCTTGTAGTGGCCATCCTGGAAGTCTTTTGAAGCCGAAAGAGCAGCTTTAGGACCTTCTAGGAAGCTGCGGTTGGATCAACATAGACACAAATGTAAGGTATCTCAAAGTACCATTGATTGTGAGGGCTAGTTCGAGCAGATCCACAGATGGGGATGTATCTTCACGGTTTGAGAAAGAGTTACTCACACAATCGTCAAAACATACCTTTCAAGGAAGTCAGGATACATGACAGGCCAATAGTATGCCTGCAATGCCTTAGTAAAACCCAACATTACTCTTTACAAATATGTTTACCTGCTGTGCGCCCATTGAAAATCCAATCACGCAGAACACTTTCTTGACACCAAGCTTCTGGGTGAGCACAGCATGCTGCGCCCGGCTGGACTATGTCGGCAACTTCGACCATCTGAGATGGAACAAACTCACATGTTGTCTTCGTATGTGATGGTAGGGAAGTAGGGGCCGTTGTATGGCGCAGGCTACCGTCGTTATGAATTCTTGCACCAGACAGTGCTCTGAGGAAACTCACTGTGTTAGAGGGTGAAGAAGACTGAAGCAACAGATGAGTTGAGCTTGACCACACCATCTTTACCTCATGTAGCGTACCTCTCCATTGGAAAATAAAGCAAAGGTTACCACGTAGTACTTACGCGGATCCAAAACCTATCGCTGGCGTCAGTCAGAACACAAGAACAAGCTACATGGCATTACCTTGTCTTCCCCTACCATGTAGCTTTGACCTAATAATCCATTTGCTAATTCAAGTTCCAGCCATCGTATGCGAAGCAGTTCGGAAGACTCACTGTCAAGCTTTCCCCCATAACACGTAGGAAACACGATAACCGGGTTCTTTGGGTCGCCGAATGTCTGGTATGCAGTGATGGCATCAGGTAGCACACCACCTGCAACACGGAAGCGCCCGTGGTGGTAATATTGGATTTCAGCGACTTGAGACATGGTTAGGAGTGAGGGATATTGAATCCATCAGTAGATAAGCAGAACATATAATAAAGACTCGAAAGAGCTGCGGACACCGATACTGGACCATGTGACAAGTTTGTGGGAATCGAAGATAAAATGTGAACGACAGGCATGAGAGTGATAAACGTAACTCGGTTACACGACAATGTCAAGAAGAGCATAGTACTGGGGGGTATTATTACGCAGAGTAGACTCTTCCATGTGCCCAAGCCTGAGAATATGGCGTCCGAGTCGAGACTGTTGGCACGGTGCACACTGCGAGGGAACTTGTCTTCAGCAATTAAAATTACTGATATCCAATGGTCACGGAAGGAAAATGACTAAGTTGTTCCTGAGGCCTGAGTAATGACAACAGGTGTGCGTTCGCAAAATCCCGAACATAGAGCTTCCAGGGTGTTCACGTGATTATGAGCCATGCTGTGGCTGATAAACTGTAACAGTTATAATTAAGGTTTCGGGATGATGCCGAGCTGGCCCCAGCACAAGTGGAAAGTTATCCTCGCCGTCCTCGTCGACTTCAAGAATGGGCTGTATGTCGCTCTCGTTATGATCACCAGTGGAATAACTATGTACTAATGGACTCTTCTACCAGCCAACAAACCTCGTGGACTTCAAGCCGCTCGCAAGCTTCGCAATGACCGCCGTGTCAACCGATGGGTTCGTGCTCGCAATCTCTTGAACATCACACATCTGAGACTGTATGGCTTTCTCAATAGGCGGATAAGGCGTATAAGAAGCGCGCCCTCGGTAACGTTTACAAAACCTCCCCTACTGGAGGATCATCACACGCAAAGGGCATCGTCCTCGAGAAAGTCGGTGTCGAGGCCAAACAACCCAACTCTGCCATTCGTAAATGTGTCCGTGTACAACTTATCAAGAACGGCAAAAAGGTCACGGCTTTCGTGCCTGTACGTGCTTTCATAGTCGCTTGTCGCGAGTTAACTCAGACATTGATACAGAATGACGGTTGCTTGAACTTCGTCGATGAGAACGATGAAGTTCTCATCTCTGGTTTCGGTCGTAGTGGCAAGGCCAAAGGTGATATTCCTGGTGTGCG